CCTTAGCAGCGTGACAACTGTCTGATTATTTGTTAGTAAGTGGCATCAATATAGGTGTAACAAACTTCTTTTGAATGTAAAGAAATGGAGAAATTGAGAAATAGGGGGAAAAAAAGAAAAAGAATGTTTTGCAAAAATAGGTTCTGAGCTTTTCCAATGTGTTGCTTTGATTGTCTTCATGTTGTCAAGCAGCCCAATGCATAGACATAGTTCTCTAGATTTCCCTGCCTTTTGCTAAAACAAAGATGATCATGCTAATTCAGACAACTGTTAGAATCACCTACTTAACACTTTTAAAGGGATCTAAAGCAGTACAAAAGTCAGTATATTATCTACCCCTCTTCCCCCACGCTCTATGTCATCCATTTTACCTGGGAGCTCGGGAGGTGCAAGCAGATTCATGAGCTGTCCTGCAGGAATACATGAATGGCTGTCAGCCAAAGCAGCAGTCAGACTTTTTAACAGGGTAATGAAGCCAAGTGCAATGCATTGAATAGGTGGAGTTGTCGAAACAGAACTATTCTAGCATTTGCATTAGCTGTGGAGCAAATGGCTGCTGTCTTCTCTTTCATCCATGAGTCTTCTTCTGGGCCTCTCTGTTGCTTACACTAAATCTACCTATTCCCTAACTTGCCCTATTTACCACTGTTCATATTCTAATACTGTTACTTAACTTCTTCCCCTACTCCAGCTCTGGGAACCATGGGATCACAACTGTTATTGTGATTTTTTTTTTTTTAACTTGGCCTCTACTAGAAAGCCTCCTGGGTCTGCAGGCATGAGCCTACACCTTTGTACCTCCTCCCTGAGGAGTACGCAGGTGGTTCTTTTCTCTCTTGAGCAGGGAGAATGAGGCAGGGACAAGTGTGAGGGTGCAGGAGCAGAGAGGACAATTGGATGTAGGGATAGAAAGGCCTAGAGCCAGCACTTGAAACCCATCCTTTGGGTATTAAGTCATGAGGCCTTTGCTGCTCTTACATGAGAATCACAAAGACATGACAAGCTTGCCACTGCAAAGAGGTCTGCTGGGGAAACCTCTTCAAGGTTCCAGCACTGCCCCTGCTGCAACCAACAGGAGCCCACACCATGGTCTTCTGGAACAGGGGGGATTCAGTTAGTGTTGCATTAAAAATAACAGCTCGAAGGACTGATGGAAAAGAGCACTGAGCAGCTTCTCTTTGCCAGCCTCCTCCTGCAATGTTACAAGGTGCTAGAGTTCATTCTCTCACCTCTGTGTGGGTTGTTCACGCTACATTCCCCTACATGACACTCCAGGAGACTTCATGTTCAGTGCTCACCCTCCTGCCTGCATCTTTAGCACCTGGGCACCTAAAACATGTGACTCATCTTTTCCCATGTTCTCATGAATTATTTCCAAATGTCTGAAGTCTCTTAAACATCAGCCACACACCTCTGTGTATGCTTATCTTTCTGTTTAATGTTATTAATCACAAAAGACACTGATAAAGTTACCTTTACCCTTCCTCACACGATAATCCCAAGCAAACATGGCATAAAGGTTATGCACTCACCTTAACACTCATTACTTTACAACAGCTGTATCAAATGAGCTGTATCAAATTGTGAAATTTATCTTCTAGCTCTTGGTAACTGTTTTCAAATTCTTCAATCACAAACACGTAATTGAAAGCGAATTTTTTTCGCTGACCTGAAAGGGATCATTATCAGAACTGAGAGTGGAGGCACTTCCGGCTTTCTGTTTTGTTTTTCCATACTCAGACTGACTAAGGTCCAGCTTGGAGGTGGTGATTTACAATGTTTTCATTTGAAGAGTGCCTGAATGAAGGCACTGCAATAGAGGCCACATGTTGCCCCTGGCTATTTGCTCCTAGGCACCTACCTAGACACCCACCTTAATTAGATAGATACAGTTACTGGTCTGAGCCAGAGGAGGGCGAGAAATTCGTAATTAAAAAAAAAAAAAAGAAAAAAGAAAAAAAGAAAAAGAAATTTGTAGCAATAAGACCCACACATTCTGCTGCATTCATGTAACCTGTAAATCAGGAAAGCTCTTAGCCATGTATTTAAGAAAATGTGCGTCTACTTTTGCTCTGGAAAGACTTCTGTGTAAGTAAGTGATATTTGGAATGAGATGTCCATGACTGTACACAATAAAAAGATTTGCTGCCAAATCTGAAGTCTGCTTGAAGTCTTTTTTGCTGAAATATGTCAGGTGAAGGTCACAACAAGTATTAAATATCTATCCAAAACCATAACAGCTAGTGATACCTGTGGCTAAATCAGGCCCACACTGGCGTTAACAAGAGATCTTTAACAGGCCCTCCAGAGACACAACAGGTACCAGACCACCAGTGATGAGTGAAGACTCCTGCTGTGCCCCGGCAGCTGCCTTCTCTGGAGCAGCACAGACACCACTCCATCTGTTTTTGTATGCACTCTCCATGCTATGGCATAGGGATCTCCTTTCTGTGCCACAAAGCCCACCCATCAAGGCAATGCCTCTTGCAGAACCACTACAGAAAACACAGAGATGCTTCACCAAGTAAAAATATTTATTTTCCGATTTTGAAGCTGATTGAACACACAGCCAACCATTCCCAATGTCACTATCAAATTCAGTATTGCTCTGCAAGCCTATGTATGTAACTCCAGCCCAGACTACACTGATATAAGGCAACATTAGAATATTCCAATAGCCATAATGTTAAAATACATTAAGAAGATTTCTCATGTCTAGAACATGTTAGCTGATCTCAGTTAATTTGAATGCACACACTCTAATGCAGAGTGAAATTTTTCACATAAATCATATTTCAAGGGAAAAGTGTGCAGATTCTCTCATATTAATGCAGTTCAAAAATCTGTATTAATTTCCCAGACTGCCCGCTTAGAAGAAGAGATTAAATATAAAAATTACTTAACCACTTCCAAACAAAAATAATGCAAGTTTTCTACTATAATGGAATCCTTCATTTGTTAAAGAAAATATTATTTCTGATCTCAGAAAGAAGAAAACATTTTTGTTTAATTCAGCCTCACTTTCTACTGCCAGATGGCTCACTAGTTGTTTTCAGAATATTTAATTTCCCACCACTCCCCAAACTGAAAGCCATTTTTTTAATTCAATGTAAGCTAAAAATAAAGCCCCATTATCTGTTGGAGTGGGTCCAGAGGAGGGCCACAGAAATTATCAAAGGGCTGGAGCCCCTCACCCTGTGAAGACAGGCTGAGGGAGATGGGACTGTTCAGCCTGGAGAAGAGAAGGCTTTGGGCAGATCTTATTGTGGCCTTCCAGTACCTAAAGGGAACTACGAGAAAGATTAGCAGGTCCTGTTGCAATAGGACAAGGGGGTAATGGTTTTAAACTACAAGAGGGTAGATTTAGGATGGATATAAGTAAGAAATTTTTTACAATGAGAGTGGTGAAACACCAGAACAGGTGGTCCAGAGAGGTGCTAGATGCCCCATCCCTGGAAACACTCAAGGTCAGGTTGAATGGAGCTCTGAGCAACCTGATCTAGTTGAAGATGTCCCTGCTCACTGCAGGGGGCACCTAGGCCTAGATCACCTTCTAAGATCCCTTCGAACCCAAAGTATACTATATTTCTATCTGCCTAGCTTTGCTCTGATGATAAGTTGTATTTGATACAATATATGTAGAAGATGTCATTAAAATATTTTACAACATTTGCCCAGCCTACTTATGGAATCAGCAATCTTACTGCATGGATTGGGTACTTCCCTCTAGGGATCAGACTGCATGAGGATGAACAAGTGCTCGTATGTGGTGCTGCACCTCCTGTCCCAACCAACAGAATATCCAAATGCATAGTAAACACAGTATCCTCTTATTAATTATAGTGAGCTAAACCAATGCAATTAGGTTCATCCAAGAACATCAGGATCATTTGCAAAAAGTTAAAAAAGGTTTATACCAAACACAGAAATGGTTGCAAATTGGAAAGATCCTGTAACACTTTTAAGTCCTCCTGAATGCCTGGGCAGGTCAGATTGGGGGTGAAGAAGCTGGGGAGGTGAGTGTTTTTGGGAGGAGATTCCACAGAATTATGAAATCATTTCGGTTGATCAAGGTCTTTAAGAGCATCAAGTCTAACAGTTAACCCAGCATTGACAAGTCCACCACTAAACCATGTCCCCAGATGCCACATATATGCCTTTTAAATACCTCCTGGGATGGTGACTCCACTTCCCTGTGCAGCCTGTTCCTGTGCTTGTCAATCATTTTGGTGAATAAATTTTTCCTAATACCCAATCTAAACCTCCCCTGAAAAGACTTGAGGCCATTTCCTCTCATCCTTTTCCTTGTTACTTGGGAGCGGAGACCAACCCCCACTTTGTTACAACCTCCTTTCAGGTGGTTGTAGAGAGCAATAAGATCTCCCCTGAGCCTCCTTTTCTCCAAGTTAAACACCCCCAGCTCTCTCAGCTGATCCTCACCAGACTTGTGCTCCAGACGCTTCACCAGCTCTGTTGCCCTTCTCTGGACACACTCCTGCACCTCAATGTCCTTCTTGTAGTGAGGGGCCCAAAACTGAACACAGGATTCAAGGTGTGGCCTCATCAGTGCTGAGTACAGAGGGACAGTCACTTCCCTGGTCCTGCTGGCTATACTTTTTCTGATAAAAGCCAGGATGCCATTGGACTTTTTGGCCACCTGGGCACACTGCCGGCTCACATTCAGACAGCTGTCAAACAGCACCCCCAACATTCCTTTCAATTGCTCTCATCCCCACAGACACTGTTAGTACAAAGATCTTAAATATCTCTCCCACTTTCCAAGCAGAGAACCAAAGCACCATGTAACATTACAGACCAGTGGCAGAAGACATCCCAGACTCTAACCCCTATTTTCTTTTTCCAGGACAGTGACAGAGAACCTGCCATCCCAGGTTCATCATCAGGAAGAGCATCTGTCAGTAACATATTTGCAATCAGTAATTGTGTGTTTACCAACTTAGGAGCTGCATTGCCAAGGAATGTAAAAAGTCTGACCCTAAAAAGATCATGATTTCTGTAGATGGAGAGCCCACACAGGTTTGGGGATTTCAGATCAAACATATGCAACTGTATTTACTGATCAGAATTAACTATAGTGAGCTCATGGCATGGAGTGGGAAATGATCTATTGTAATGGAGGAAGGATGAGAAAATGCTGCTTTGGACATATGACAGCAATGCAGGGTAAAATTAGATTTTAAAAAGATAAAAAAGATGAACAAGAATGTCTCTGGATTAACTCTAAATCATATCCATTCTAATAGCTAAAAAATAAAAATAAAAAAAATCACATTGACAGTTTGGCACCTTCAAGTAACAGCATAAAAGTACATGGTATAAAATCTTACTAAATTACATGGTATGAAAACACACCATGTTTGCATCTCTGGAGAATGAACAGGGTTATCTTTCCACTACTGGTCCTTGCAGTTCTACAGCTCACAGACATTTGTGTCAGAAGTTGTTCTGACACGGACAGTGGCTGTTTGTGGTGCAAGAATATACAGATTCCTGAGCTGAGCTTCCAGCTACTGCAGAACAGGAGGGCTTATTGCAGAATTTTGGCAATCCATCTTCAACAACTGCACCATTCGGGATAATCTTAGAAGTCTGCTTCTTGTCCCTAGCTTCTTCAGCTGTGCACTCCAGGGGCTCCAGGTCATGGTATTTTCTGCGATATATGACTCTTGAGATTACGGTTATCAGAAACATTTCCATGATGAGAAGCTGCTGGGCTATATCTGCCAAAAAAAAAAAAAAAAAGAGGCAAAGAAAAGCCCCCAAAAGGGGGAGATTACTATCAGATGCAAAATGAATACCCAGCTCATTAATTCATTAATTTTCACCTGTGCAAAGGGAACAAACTTTACCATTCAGTCCCTGTAACAGTGTGTCTCATGCTCAGCAACAACATCAGCTACAGAATTCCAGTATTGCTCATCAGTAAGCATGCAATAAATTATGAATCCAAAACATAAGAGAATTAACAGCAATTATGCATTTTGATTTCTTTTCCTCTCACTTCTGATTCCATCTCTTCTCATTAACAAGTTTTTCTCTATGAGTGTCGCAGCTATAAAACTTTTATTCTTGTTTTTTTAACTAAAAACTGAGATTCTCGAAAAGCTAATGATCCCAGGAAATTAGTTCTTTGGGAAAACACCAGATATTGCAGTTAGCAACGCTGAACTGGCACCTTTATGAGTAAATGAAAAACATTCTTCTCAAAGAAACTTACATGATGCTCTTGCTGTAGAGGAGAGTGGTGGAGCACAGGGAATGATTCTTTGTGTGGCCAACATGCGGATAATAACGGTCTGCAGCTGGTTCAGAACAACAATAAACTGCACCAGAAAGAGAAAAAAATGCCTGAGCTACCAGAAAAGGATTTATAGTTCACACACCAATTCTGCTTTCATAAAAGAACCTCTTTTGCCTCATTCCTCCTTTCTTGCCCTCCCTCTCCTCTCATCTACCAGCAGGCTGCCTACCATTCTGCAGAATTCATCTTAAGGTCAGGATGATATTGCTCTGAAGATGAGTATTAAATTATAGCTCAACTTGAAAAGTGCTTCTTCTCAGTCCTTCATTTGGGAGGTACAATATGCACAAACCTCCCAGCTAGGATTTTAAATGATGCTGAGCTCTGAATAACAGGTAACAAGGTTTTAAAAACTGCCTGTTAATTTGACCTATGAGCTTATATTCTCAAGGACTCAAAGAACGTTTTTTTCTGCTGTCTCCTCTTTTTGCCACAGCAGGGAGACATCCTCGTCCCCAGGTTATATGGGACTGGCTTCTTTCCAGGAGGTATGAAGGACTCTTTGCCTCTTGAATCCAGCAACCATCACCTGTGCATCATATTACCTGCTACTCTCTGAGAAAGGCCTTTGCCACTGTGGAGATACCAAAGTATCTCTGTAGCTGCCTGAGTATAAACCCTCATAGTACCAGAGTTTGCCATCCTAAGCCTGAATTCACCCTAACACATCTTTGCAGGTATGACCATCTGTTATAAGTGCTTAATAATTTACTTAACAGACACCTTAGCGCACCAGCCTTTCTGTATGTCCTGCTCAAGAAATATGCATAACCAAGGATTCTTCTGCACTCTTTTCAAGGTTATGAGGAAGAGTGTGGCCTTGTCCCTGTGCTTGTTCAATCTAACGTATCTGGTTCTATTCCTTACTATTTAACAGTTTCCAGACATTAATAAGTTTCATTATTATCTAACCCTGAAATGCAGAATGGCCAAGAAAAATACTGTTAAAACAGAATATTGTGGCATGGTGAAATGCTTCAAACAACAACCACCCACACAATGCAATATATCCACTCCTGATTTTTAGAGACACACACTAACATTTTAACATTGCATTTTGTGATACCACATTGACAAAGCTTCAAGCCCCACAGATGGTGCTGCTGTGATTTTATACTTTATCTGGTATAAAGATAGACAGATTTTATGTGTCTTTCACATCTCCAGCACTTCTGAGAGACAAAAGGTAAATTGGCTCAAGACAAAACTGAACAGCAGCCAAGGAGAGTCCTTCAAATAAATGCAGCTTTAATCAGGTAAAAATATACCCTTGCACACTGTATTTAATGGGACAAAATATTATAACTTTTCAATGAGGGACCAAGAACTAGAGAGACAGTGTTGCATCAGCAGTTAAGAAAAATTCTTACCAGAAATATTAAACTTCTCACCTGATAAAGGGCAAACTTTGGGATAATGTTCTTACAGGTAAGGAGAGTCCTAACTTTTCGAAACACGATTCCAACTGCCCACAGAGCAGTAAGGGTAAGGACACCCATGAAGATGTTAATCCATAGCGCGGGTTCTTTGGGAGATAACTGAGAAGCAAATAAAACAAGAGCACCTTATAGAACCTTACTTCGCATTTTACTGTTTCCAGGAAGAAGTTGTGAACTAGACAATCCAGATGTTCAAATGCTTGTTCCTATCTCCATGAAAGCTGGTGGCAGCAGCAGCTGCTGGGCTTTGCATGGGGAAACTGCACAGAACCAACTGGAGAGTTGGCTCATTATCTCACCCAACAGGCATCAACATGGAAATCTGTTCAGCCTGGGAAGGTACCAGTTGACAGAACCCCTCAATCTGACCCCAGAAGCAGCTGACAACGCTCAGCAGCTCATGAGAACATATTCAACATGGCATCTCAAATGGGTCATTTGTTTTATACCATGAAACAACAAAAAAAGAATTACTTTTAATCTCAGTTGTCTAAGAGGTGCAAAATTATTATCAGTCACAGACTTCTCCATCATCTTGCAGGTTACACGGGACAAAGCAGAAGTACAGTACTATCTTTTCTACTTTGCACAGATATAAAAATCACCATGATTTGCAGAAAAGCATAGAATTAGGCTTCCTGTTTACACGTGCTAGTACATGCACTTTTTTCTTAAGGCTGTACCTTTAAAAAACACAGGGCAGGTACATCACACAGGACAACTTGTAGTCCCGCTATTCTAACCATACAAACTGGGAAATGTATTGGAGCGTGTCTGATGCCAAACATACCCTGATGCCCAGTTTAAGACAGGAAACTGAGGGTCTAGAAGGCAGAAATTATATGCTTCAAGGTCAAAAAGAATACAGTAAAGACTTACTTGGAAGTGCTCCCAGATTTCACAGGTCAGTTGTAGGCTAAGACAGTAACATCAACCCTAAAACCCATGGATTTTGTGGACCACCTCTGATTAAAATATTTACTTACATTGTCAAGGAGGTAATTGCCATTACTCCAAAGCACTATTGATAAAAATACGAGCACAGGTCGAAAGACAGCAAACTGAAAGGTGCCCACCTTCAGCCAAAAGAGGGTTTGCCTAGCCAAAAAACAAAAATTAAAAAAAAAAAATTAGATAGACCAAGATCTTATTAGCAATCTTAATAACATTTTTTGGATACTATCAACTGCAAAACTTTTCCACTCCTGTAGCATGTGGCTAAAATCTGGGAAGGAACAGCTTCAAGATTAGAATATCTTTCCAAGAATTTCCCAGTGTTTATTTAATAAAGTCTCTACAAAAATAGTACCTTTCCTGCTCTGCAGCAACTACATACTGGGCAAAATGTGATGTCTTTCTCTGTCCTGAAGCTAACCAGGGAGCCAGTAGCAGCATAACCGGTTTCTGAACAATAATGCTCTTGCCTTGTTGTATTATGATTTCAGTTCTCTGGTGAAGTTGGGCAATTCAGCCTTCCTGTTGAGACACTTTCTAGTCCTGTGGTAGATCAAGAAAGGGAATCATACAGACCTAGGTGAAAGGACTGGTAGTTTTTCAATACATCTTGAATAGTACCACATAAGCATCTGGTTTTGCTCCACTGCAGTCTAACAGAAGAAAGGAACTGTCTTTCACTTGGCAAACTGCACAAGGTCAGCAGGACAGCTCAGGATTTCCTCACTTCTGTCAGTATAAACTGGGTCCAGAACACAGCCCATACACAGTAACCTGGCCAGGCAGCATTAAAGGCCAGCAGGAAAGGGGCAAATGAACTTTCTAACAGAGAGGATGAAAGCTGACTGACCTGAAATCTCCTTTAGTCTTCACAGGACAAGCTACAGCTGCTACATATGGTTCATGTTTTAAGTCTGTTCCTGTGTGTTATTTCCTATACTGTCAATGTTATCTTCACTGTCGCTCCTTGGGCCCTTGAGTCTGCCATGAGAGATGCCTCAGCAGAAAACAGTTTAGCTGCCATTTATATGTTACAGAATACAGCCATGACCCAGGAATTATAGGAATTGCTCAATGAATATAGCTAATAACAGGATTATGAACAGCACAAACACATGTGGAAAGACCTGCAATGGGCCAGCCACTTAGTGTGTGCTTTTTAAAAGATTTATTATTCCCAAAGGGCTTTAAAGAATAATAAATATGACAAACAGTGCAGTCATTTCAATGCCATGAGTTGTTTCCCTTGTCAATTCTTTACGGGTAATCAGGCATTGGAATGGGCTGCCCAGGGAAGTGGTGGATTCTCCATCCCTGGAGGTTTCTAAGATGAGACTGGATGTGGCACTTAGTGCCATGGTCTGGTAGCCGCAGTGGTAGTGGATCAAGGGTTGGACTTGATGATCTTGGAGGTCCTTTCCAGCCTGGCTGATTCTATGATTCAATGTGGGTCTATCTTTGTTGACCATCAGATTTCTTTTGCCACATCTCTCTCCATTGCACTACTTGTTACCTTGCCTCACCTGTACCTTGTTATTTTTCCCAGGACTGCTTGATAGCCTATGTTTTTTTAAAAGAACAAATCCCTCCCTTGGAGTAGCTCCCTGTTTCCCCATAAGATACCTACAGCAGGACATGAGATTGACTTTTCTCTGGTATAGATTGCTCATATTTGAAAAAGAAAAAAAAAAGTCACCCTGTAATGGGAAAAGGCTGGAAGTTAGAAGCAGAGAGCAGATGGATTTCCCAGTACTACAGAGAAGAAGCCTAAAAGCCCTCTGCAGATCAAAAAGCCTTTTTTTAAAACACACAGCTGTCCTTCCTCCCAGCAGCAGTAGGCATTATCTAGTTCCTGAAATGAGTCCATATTAGCTCATATCATCCTGCATAAGCTGTCATTGGACTGACCAACAGCAGGCAGGGCATTGTACAGGATCCTCTCCCAGGCTCCCAGATACCACAACCTATACAGAGGGTGGCAGACACAGGAAGAAAAACAAATAAAGATACATTTTTTGGTTGGTTTACTACTTGGTACCCCCTCCATGTAAATATTTAGTGTTATTCTGTTAAAACAAAATGATGGAAACAAGAGTTTAAATTCTAATACCAAATGGGGAAGTTTAAGGAAGAATTATTATAGTAAAAAATAAGAATTTTTGAAAATGTGTCAGAAACCACTATGCTGTGTTCTGTTTGGTGCTTTCCTTTAACAGATTGTAAAGTCCCCAAGGTACCTCTGACACTAAAGTCCACGCCCTCATAGAACAGTCTCTGTCTTGCACATTCAGTCCTTCAGATTTTGCTTATAATGAGAGAAACAATCTTGTGCTCTGTGCCAGTAAGAAAGCCCTGGGAAATACATGAGGCTTCCAGGCTGTGGAGCAGCCTGCACATGACAGAGTGACACGAGCCAGAGGAGGAGCCCTGCCAGACAAGGTCTATGTTACAGAGGTCTATATTGGCTCCTGTAGGTGCAGCTCTCTATCCTTAGCCCACTTCTCAAAGATCCTTTAATACTTACTAGAAGAAAACATATGCCTTTGCCTCACCAGATAATGCCATTTCATTGAGATCAAAACTTTCCAGAAATTACACCTACTTTTTGTTGTAAAAATTATTTTAAACCGAAGTAGTTTTAAAGTCAAAATCAGAAAGAAACATTTAAATTTTAGCAAAGTGAGAGAAATTTTCTATCAAGACAGTCTCCATCTGACAATTCTGCTTGTGAAAAATACCCAATTTGAAGATACTTGTTCCCTTCTGGAATAGAAAGAAACTGAAATCTCAATTATTAGGCTTTCTAGAGTAGAAATTCCTCCTCCCACAACCCCCTGCCTTATAGAAACAAAATAAATTAGTGGTGGTGTACAGCCCCAAAGTGACAATGCTGTTTAAAAGAGACGCTTGAAACTGACTTTCGGGAAGCGAGGAAGGTCCTTTGCTGTAAGCCTGGCGTTGCCAAATTGGCTGAATTCCCGCAGCCGTTTTCAAGCTGGGAAATCTTAAAGGGCAACTCACCTAGTGATGGGCACACGAGGGAGGCAAAGGCAGCAGCAGCAGCAGGGACCGGTGCTGATCGTGAAGTGACTCTTTTCAAACCGCCTGAGCAGCAGCTTTTGACCTCCGCACTCTTTGATCATCATCATCAGGAACTTGTGGATAACTATGGCAAAAAATCTAGGAGAGGAAGAGAATTGCAGCTTGAACTTGCCTGCGTATCTCTCGTATGCCTGCGCAGGCTAGTGCTGCCTTCTAAGTTTTTAATTTTTACAGCTTATGCTTTGCAATCAACAAAAATTCTGGCACTATCTGTGAGAAACCTTCCACTTTCCTTCATCTTAGAGGGCCAGAACAGCCCTAACCTCACTGAGAGAGGAATAAATCGAGGCACAGAGCAACTGTGGAATTTCCCAAAGCCACTCTGGTGGCTGGTGGCAGAGTCAGTATTAAAGCACATGATTTTCTGATCCAAGTCATTATGGCTTTATTTTTCCATAAGTTATCTATTCCTGACTGGTCCAAACTTTTTAGAACAAGTCCTCTTCCTCCTCAAACACAGCTTCCAATCAACAAACGTGGCTAGGTTCATATATACAGCTATCATTAAATGTGCTGGCCCAGTCAGGGTGTGGTTCCTTTGCAGACAAAGCTGATCCAAGTACCAACTGCTTCAGCCCCACTGTCAGAGACTGAAGTGTTTGATGATTTATGCATTCTAGGAGACTTTTGCAGGCTTTGACTTTTTGATGGACAACTGGGCCTATCCCCCCTCCTCCAGCGCAGAAGATGTCAAGCCCCGAAAAGGCGGGAAGAGCCGAGCTTGCAGGCTTTTGACTGTTGCACTGTACCTCTGATGGCCCATAGGAGCCCATTCCATCCCCCTCTGCCTGTCGGGAAAAGGGCGGGAACCAGGCCAGACACAGCAGCTCTTGCGCAGGGCCCAGGGAGAGGTTGGAGGCTCGAGGTATGGCCCGTGACACTGACCATGGATATGATAATTCAAAACTTGGAGTGTGGGGGCTTCCCTCCTTCACCCCCAGCAGATCAAGGCCACCACTTCAACTGACAGACATGGAAGCTGCAACTACCAAGTTTCATCGCTGGACCCCGTGGGTGGTGACTATAGACTTCTGTCCACTCTCAGCTTTTCTTTCCCTTACTCTCCCTTGCTCTTATCCTGCCTTTCTCTCCCCTATGCATTTTCTTCCCCCGCAAAGGTTATCTCTGTGTCACACTGTGGCATGACAGCACCCAAACTGCTAGCATGCCTGTTGATATAAAATTGTTAAAATAAATCATGTCAATATATGTTTTCAGACACCGATTATTTAGTGTCGTTTCACTTTAATCCACCCCAAAGGAATTATTGATAAAACCTGGGTTACCCCCCCCCCCTTTTCCTGGGGCAGGTCGTAACATTTTTGGTGTAGTCGGCAGGATACTTTGGATGTGGTGGAGTAATCGGTGTATTCTAAAACTGATACCGAGGGCGAGTCAAATGGTGACTATCCCTTCGCTGTAAAATTATAGTGAGAATTTTTCTCCTCTCAGTGTGACCCGGGCACATCAGACCTGTTGAAAGGTTTCCTGGTGTGGCCTGGGCCTGTTGAAAGGTTCTCTGGTACCTGGACCTGTTGAAAGGTTTTCCAGGAGAGAGTCAAACCAGCCCTCAGAGGGTTAAGGGGGAGAAAGACATTAACCTAAGGTGGGTTAATGATTGAGGCAAAGGGGATGACACCCCAGATTGAGTTATATGGGGATTATTCCCTCCTGATAGTTATCCTTGGTTTAGAACTGTTTTTTGTGGGTGCTGTCTTAGGCGTGTTCCTTAGAGCAGTGCAGAAGCAAAAATCAGCTACTCAGAAATCTGTCAGTGAAGTGATAAAATCTTTCCAAGAGTCAATGAGAACTTTGCAGGACCAGCTAGAAAAAGAGGCTATTCCAAAATCTACCGGTGAGGTGATAAGATCTCTTCAAGAGTCAATGAAGGCATTACAGGAGCAATTAGGAAAAGAACGCCTGCAGTTAACTGCTGAGCGTCAGGCACTGGAGAAAGAGAGGGAGATTAACTCATTGCTTCAGTCAGCCCTGCAAGAATGGGAGGAACAAAATGAAAGGCTTAAAAAGATACTGGAAATGAAAAATTGTGAACTGCGAGACATTAATTCAAAATACCCTAAACCGGTAGATGTTAACAAATCCCTGTACCCCTCTGGGGAATTAGAAGAGTTGAAGCAAAGTTACCCGGAGGACGAGGTAATTAATACATATGCGTCCCCTCATTAAAGCTGAAACCACTGGCCAGGGGGCAGATCGGCAAACTACCACACGAATTACCCCGTACACGGGGGAAGCACTGGCCAAAATTCAGGAAAAATACAGCCGTAAGGCCAGTGAATCAGAGACTGAATATGTGTGGAGGGTGTCCCTTACAGGAGGGGATCGGATTTTGCTGAGTGAAGATGAGGCCAGAGGATTTGGGAGCCCAGGGGTCTTCCTGACCACAAATGATAACCGAGCCCCGTGGTCGCTGACCCAGAGAGCTGCTTACTGGGCAGGCGGGTTAGACCCTATAGAAAGGGGAGATCCTCACACGATTAAAACACCCACAATTGGCCACATTGTAAAAAGTGTACAAAAACCCGCATGTCTCCAATTAATGCATACAAAATTATTAGACCCACAACGAAATTCCCCAATGGAACTCGAGGTGGATCCACAGAGATTTCCAGTCTTAATTCGAGGTCTGCCTGATGCACTAAAAGTTTATGCTAAACAAGTAGTTTAGCACATAAAGGAGCGCATAAAGGCAACCCCCAGACCTAGAAGAAGGGGTGCTCCATCAGGAATAACCTGGTTGGAGATAGCCCAAGAATTAATAGCTACTGGTCAGCAGCTGGGCCTCTCTGGTACGAGTGGCCAGAGAATACACTGCAGGAGGGCAGGGAAGGTCCAAAAACCTGCCTCGCCAGGTATTTGTCAACAAAATGTGTCATCTAGCAGGAGAAAGAGATACAGTTTGTGGGTGGAAGGTGTTGCAAAAGGAATTCCTCGAGAAGTGATGGATAAATTACCCACTGCTAATTTGGAATACTTGATAAAGCACTGGGATAAGATCAAAGAACACAAGGCACCCTCTAAGGGCAGCCCCTCTAAGGAGCCCAACACTATGATCCCCTCAGCCTCTCCAGAAACCGGACTAACCAGTTTGACCAGTTCTGAGTCAAGAAACTGGACTTACTGCTCTCAAGTAAATAAGCCAAAAAATGACCAGTGGATTTATGAGAGAAGGCTCACAGAAAACAACCAGGGAGATATGGTAATTACTTTCTCTCTCGGCCCTTTTAAATCTTTGGTTACATTCGTGGTGGACACGGGTGCACAGGTCTCAGCACTCCAAACTGAAGCTGCTACTCAGTGTGGCATTTAGCCAGACAAAAAAAAGATATGGGTGACTGATGCTTTTGGCAAATCCCGACCCCAATACACAGCTCGAGTGAAATGCTAGTTACCTGGAGATGAGACAGCCACAGGAACTATCATGATTGTAGGGCCATTACCAGCTAACATCCTGGGGTTAGATCTGCTAAAGGGGAAGGCCTGGACAGATGCCAGAGGGAGAGAATGGGTGTTTGGTCTCCCACCCCCCTCTGTCCGTCTGTTGCAAACTGCTCCAGGTCTGCCTCCTTCCAAAATAACAAATGTAAACCCCCACCCACTCCCTTTAGGAACACGTGAAAAAATTACTCCAGAAATTGCAGAATTCCAGGCACCGTGGACAGTATGGTCTGTCCATAAACCTAATGGGCAGTGGCAGCTGCCAGAGAGTTACCTCGATGCTGACACTGGCTCACAAATAGCTGCTGTACATAACAAAGATGAACTGATTGCCCAGATTGCCCAGATTGCACCACAGGGGACCAGACTCAGACAAGTACTATCACCCACTTGGAAAGTCTGAGACTTCAAATTCCCACAGGAAAATTAGCAGTGTGTTTTCCTCCTGACACCTCGGCCACCCTAGAGCAAACAAAGATGCTGAGAAGTAAAAAGGAGCTCCAGCATACTCTGAGTTTATTTGTTTTTTGGAGAAAACATGCTCCAAACTTCTCTATCATTACTGCCCTAGTGACATTATGCCAGATAAGAAAAGGAGTTGGATAAATAGATAGTTCCTTCTTTCTAATAATGGGTCCGTAGTGGGCCAGATTTTCTTTTTTTTCCACAGGAACCTGCCAGCAGATGAGATCAAACTGCATGAAACCAATAAAGCTTTCAATTGCAGCAATGGGCAGAAAAGATAACTGCCCCCACAACTGCTCCTATTATCAGCTTACAAGTATCCCATGAGAAAACAAAGTAGCAACAGGACTGAAGACTTATACTGTTCTTTGACATGTGTTTGTGTTTTTATCTTAATAACTTTGTGGTATGCATGTCTGTATGTATTTTTGTGTCAGTAAGTTTGCAATATGCAAAAGTTTACCACAAACATTGTATTTGTGTCTCCTCTACTCCCAGAATTGCTTGTATTATCAGCTTATTAATAATTGTTGACTTATTTGTGTTTTTATCATGAACAACTCACTGGTAAGATTGTGTAAGACAAGCCATTTTATGTACTGCTAGTTTAGTTTTTGCCAAGTTTGTTTTGTCTTTTTGTTGGGAAGTGGGTTAGCTTGGGAAAAGCTTTCAGATGTGTGTAGTTCTGTCTCAATCAACTGAGAATCAGAAAACTCAATCAAATTTAGCCTGGGAGTTAGTACAAGAAGTTATGAATATTTAGAATCATACGAATATGTATTATATGCATTAACCCTCTGCCTCAGAAGGCATCAACACCCACCTCTCCCTCCTTCCCCATCTGCACATTCTCAACCCTTCCCAGGAACTGATTCATGGAAATCCAGCCAAATAAAAGGGGTCCTCTTCTGCTGCACTGCCTGCAGATTGGGCAAGGGAGGAGGGGGAATTCAAACACACTTGAAGTGCCACAGGACTTGGAGGTTTCTGGCAGTCTGCACTACCTGCACTACTGCTGCATGCTGACAGTGTTCCCTGCTACAGTGTTTTCCCTCCTCTTTTACTCTACTCTTTTAGTAAATGCAGTGTAACATGGGGTGAGACAATTCATGAAAGTCTGTGATACTGTCTTGCACTGTGTGCCAAAGTCATCCCAAAATGTGGAGTGCTCAAGGCCACAGCAACCCCGACCTGGTTCTGCCCATCAGGGCTGTGCCATCATATCCAGAAATCAGGGACCACATTCCTCCCTTCTCTGTGCATGCCAGAGTTGTCATGCTTGTACAGAAAGTGCTTTTATCAGGACAACTGTGGAACATTTTTACACTGATATACTCATCGGAGGTTCACTTGCCACCATTAATAACAAACCTCCACGGCTCATCATTAGTAAAAGTGCAGGAGAGAAGTCATAGGTCAGACTCTCATTTCCCATGACATGCAGAGAGAGGAAAGACAGAGTACTGCTTCAAAGTGACTGTCAATCCAAAGGATCAATTACATGCGAGTCACAGATCCTTCATACTAACATTCCCACACTGGGGAACTGTGACACTGGGAACTGTTTCAGCATTCTCCACCTCCCAGAAAAGAACTGCTGAGAGATTTCAACTCAAACAAAAAATTACTAAATTGTTAAATTTACAAAATGACTGTGTTACCAAGGGCAGCAGATGTTTAAAGGGAAGAAATTCAGGGTTTGGGGCAACATCTAGAAACAAGCAGAGTACTCACATTCCTGCTGTGAAATCTGTAAACATTGTTGAGCGAGGAATCCACATGCCAATGCATGAAGTAGTAGAGATCACCTACAGAGAAAGGGGAAGGGCTGTAAGAAGCGCAGAGATAAAGCAGGTTCATGGGGATTTTTGGGGAAACCCTATTTTCAACATTCAGTTTTATCTCATTCCCATGCTAACTTACTGGAGCTGCAGCATTAATCCAAATTATGATTGATCTTTTGGAGGAGGGGATTTTCCTGTAGATGTAGACTGCTTCCTCTATAAATACCAGAATGGCAATTAGTGTCATCAGAGTCAAAGTTGCAAAGAGAAATCTCCCTGGTAGGTCGAGGCCTGCAGAGAGAGAAAAGAAAACAGACAGTTCCAATTTATTTCATAAGCATTTTAAACATTAATGTAACAACACCATCTCTGAGGGGTTTCTTTGCCCTGTTCCTGCAAAGACTTGCACTCAGCCTTAGTTACACAGGCAGACCACTGACTCCATAGAACAATTCAAACACTTAAGTTCATGACTAAGTCTTTCCAGGATCTACAGAGAGCATATGGGAAGAATACGCCTTCATGTTCTCAAAGCATTATGCAATAGTCCCCTTCAGAAAGGTGGATTTACAGGACAAATATTCTTAGAGGAACATGAATATATAGCTGAATACAAATGAATACATAATACACACTACATAATACACAATACAAATAAATAGAGTAAATACATATTCTGGGAAATTTTCCAGGCAGGCCACAAGCAAACATGTTCACTCATGTATTAGTCCTTTGCTTCCAGTGTATGTCAACAGGCATGTTACATGTAACTTCCTCAGACAGGTAAACTTAATAGTTCAGTGGAAATTTGTAGGGCACATGATCAATGTAAGGAAAAGCCCCTGATATATCTAGAGTGAGATAAAACTTGATGTCTTCACCTTAATGCTGGATATGCATATCAACATTTACCCACACATGACAAGTTTTATGTCTCCATTGGCACTGGGTACAGATATCAACTTTTACCCACGGCTGATGGTTGAGGTGCATTTTTTCTCAAGAGAGGTGTTTCTGGAGACAGAAGAAAGCAGTGCAGTGGAGTCAGGCTTAATTTAGGAGAAGTTCATGCTCGTCACTGGTATTAACTCCTGCTGTGGCCGCAGCCTATCTGAAGGCAAAGGAGAACCTCTGCTCCAGGCTCTTTAACCTAAACCTGCTTCAAAACCCCCTGACACTTACAGGCTTGGCTGCAGGCGGAGCAGTGCACGTCTCAATAGACATCGCCACACCTCAGATCTCACCCGAGAGAGCAGCTCTAGGGGCCAGTTCAGCGCTCGGTTCGCCGGTACCGGGCGGCCCCGGCGCGCCCAGCTTGTTCTCTGGCACTCCCCCCGCAGCTCCGGGCTGGGGGCCGTGCTGTCCCCTCGCCCTGCTCCGAAGCTAGAGACAGCTCGGCCCCCTGGCAGGAGGAGGATCGACCGGGACGGGCGGCTGCCAGCCTCCCTCCGCCCGGGGATTTCCTCGCCGGGGAAGAACGGCGGCGGGGCAGGCAGGGGCAGGGGCACGAGTATGGACAGGGACAGGGAGTGGGACAGGGACAGGGACAAAGGCAGGGACAAGGGGAGGGACAGGGGCACGGGCAGGGACACGGGCAGGGCAGGGCAGGCGCAGCCTCTGCCATCCGCCGCGGGTGGGTGCCGAGGGCACGGCCGGGCAGGGGCCGCTCACGCGTGACGGGCACCCCTTCTCCTCACGCCTCCGCACTTACTCCGGAGAAGCTCCTCGGAGTAGGGCGGCTCGCTGGCGCCGCAGGACGGGTGGAGGGTCCCGTTCGCCTCGCCGTCCATGGCGGCCGTGGGGCCGCCGCCCCCGCCGCGGGGCCCTGGCGGTGCCGGGGGCTGGGGACGGGCGGAGGGGTCGGTGTGTGCCCGGGGTCGGTGCCGGTCCCTGGAGAGTGCGGGCGTGGCGATGCTCGGCCTGGGTCCCCAGGGCGGGTTAATGATTATCCCGGGCCGGGGCGGGCGGGGCAGGGACCGGCCCCGCGCTGCCTCCTGGCGCCCGGCGGGGCGGGCAGTGCCCGGAGCGGGGCAACGCGCCCACCCCGCTCCCGCTCCGCCTGCGAGGGAACGCGTCCCGGCTGTTCCCAGCGTCCTTGCCCGGCTTCGGTGGAGGTGCTTACGGGATCCATCCAGCCCTCCCTGGCCCCATCCTCACAGCCCCAGGGTGTCAGCGCACCTGGAACCGGGTGCCGGCAGCCGAGGCGGGATGGGAATCGGCCTGGGAGCGGGCTGGATCCCCAGAGCTGGGACCGCCTTCGCCGCAGCCCCGGGGCGCTGGCGGGAAGCTGCTCAGTCAGTGGGGGAAATGTTTGAAGGACTTTTCATGGAGCCCTTCACCAAAGACTTCCCCGATCGTCTTGGCTGCAACAAGGTGAGAAGCTGAAGGAAAGCACAGTGAGGGTAAGAATACACCGAGGGATTCTCCATCTCCCACATTTCTCCTGCTGGAAGGATCCTTTATGCAGCCTGAGGCTTTTCAGGCTGTTTCCAGGAAAAGGGAGTAAGTAATGAAATGGTGGAGTTTGGTGCCCCACCGAGTTGTTCTGGCTAGTTGAATGGAAAGCTGGCTGCAAGAAGCAGCAGAGGATGGGTGGTTACAGCACCGAGTGACAAAGACTGTAACAGTAAACACAAAGTGGTGTACAGGGGGAAGAGGACAGCCCTAACTATCTATGCAGTGAAGAGCCATTGCCACTCAGGAAAAAAGATCTTGGGAGCACAGTAGATTGTCCTCAGAAATGACAGCCGAGGAATCAGCATGGGACAAAAGACAAAGGACTGTGAGGAATTCGTGGATAAAGAAGGGAAGACGCAAAACAACTAAAACACAGATGGAGACCTCCCTTCGCCACATCTTTGACTGCATTGAAAGCTGAAGAGGAGAGCTTTACAGTTGCGCCAGGAGGCATGTGGCAATAACTGGCTGTTAGAATGTGCTATTGGCCCAGTTTTCACAGGCTGCTCAGAGCATCCTCCATCCAGTACATCTGCTGCTGCCCAGCTGCAGAAAGATACAGGCAAAATTCTTGAAACAGCATTCCAGCTTATTTCCTATTTGAAAGTCTGTTTACTCATCCTGAAGAAACAATTGCTAGTAGAGAAGGGAATAATCTTAATACACCATGCATTTTCTACCCAGTTTTCTTGATTTTTTAAAATCAAACTATTTGCAATTGATCACATAATCCAAAATGCAACCAAAAGCTCGCTAGTACTGCTGAGATGAAAAGATGGCCTAAGGCGTTTGGTTCTTCTTGAGCAGACACAACAGGATTCCCATCTGCTGCTGTTTTGGTTGCAAGGTCCTTGTATTCCCTGAAAGCTAAAAATAAAAATCCCTGACTTGTGAATCCCTTTTTTGAATGAGGCAGGTTTGGCAATGCTTTTGTTAGAGAAATTCAGACACTGAGTGATAAAACTCATGGCTATTTTACTGTATTTCAAAGAAACCCAGAGTCTGCTTTGACTTAAGAATTCCTTGAAGAACCCACACAGTAATAGTTATGGGTTTGACAGTCATATTTAAGCCATTCAGTCATACCAGTTTGGAACAAATATTGCAGCATACACTAGACATGTCATTAGAGAGTCTCCTGTCTCAAACATATAGAAAATTTATAGGCTGAAGTTTAGAGCTAAGGATTAATTCTCACCTGCTGTTGTAGAGATCCATCCAACTCTTTTCTTCTACTGGAGTCTTTTACACAGAATAGAGCCTAAAAAGAAAATCACAGACCCACTGTGATTCTTTTTTGTTAGAAACACCATTTGCCATCTTTGGCTCAAACACTGGATCCACTTCCTTGAAAGCTGCCATACATCTGGGGGAAGCATCACCTCTTCCTCATGTTCTAGGCTATGTCTTGGCGACAATATTCACCTGACAGTGCTTAAATTTAATAAATCAAACTGAAGAACGTGCCATGATCCCTCACTTACCACAGCTGGAGGTCTGGTGCTCTGTGCATGCTTTCTTAGCCCAGACTCTTCAGCAGTGTAGGGGATGCCGTGCTGGCATCTAAGCCAAATTCTGGGTCTCTACACCAACAGTGAATCCTTTAAATCTCCAGGAGCCTAACTATGTTTTGCTCCCAGCTTCATTATTCCAATTTTTTGTTTAACCTTTTAGTTCAATATATTTTCCACCAAAAACCCTCAATCTTCCGCAGTAGAAAAGTATTTATAAATGGATCACCTACCCATTTGGATGTATCAAGAGATTTTCACAGTTCCTCAGAATAAAAACCACCTGTGAATGCAGTTCCCTGCCTCTGGTGACCAGGGGCTTTCTAGTACTATGTGGTTCAGCTCCCTTCTGGACACTGCAGAGCTCAAATTTCTTTCTTCTGAAGAAACACACCCCTTTGTTTCTACTAGTGTGCTCATCCTTTATATAGCACTGGGGATGTTTATCTTTCTTCCATTTTTATGATGACTTTCATTTTACCCTCCTCACTGCAGGGGTACCTGTGTCCTCTCAGCTCTGTGGAATGGGATGCCTGTTGTGATCACTGCCCCACGGTGTGCAGTGCAGAGGAGTTGATGCCATCGTGGTTTCTTCCTGAAGGAGAAGTACTGGCCCTCAGGAAGTGACACAGCCCCTCTGTCTCCTGTTGGTGGGCCAAGCCTATAGAGAGAAATCCTGATGTCAGCCCTGGCTCAGAGACTGAACAGCAGGAGATCCTGCAGGCTATCTCACAGGGCAAACTCAAAGCTCCATTGCACAGGATACATAGGATAGACTATTGTATTTTGGTTGTAGGAAGTCTAGCAGACATCAGTATCACCAGTGCAGATGGGAAAGGTAGATGGGAAATGCAGTCCCTTTCACAGAATCATTTAAATTGGAAAAGACTTTTAAGATCATGAGTCCCACCACGAACCTAACACTGAAGTCCCGAGACAAGGTTAACTTACCTCCTGGCAGGCTACAGAAACTTCAAGACACATTCCTTTAGTCAGTGAAAATGCACATTAATTGGAGAAAGTTCCAGCTGATTCCGCAAGGGCCCCAGCAGCTTTGAACTCCAGGGACAGAAACCCATATGTGGAGCAGCTGCATTTGCTAAGTGTAATGCCAGTTAAAAAACAAGGTAGGCATTCAAGTTCAGTTGGAGGAAGTAAAGGATTCAAGTTGTAGACCAACATACTCCAGAGGTATCAGAAGGAAAGGTTACTACACCCACCTGATTGTCTTTACACATCTGCTGACAGGCAGTTCGGGTCATAAACCGCTAATCACATGGAGAAATCAGCCAGTTTGTTGGAGACATATGATTTGAACTGTTTAATCTCATCCCACTGCATTTGCTTAAGACAATCTGGAGACTGATACAAACAGAATGGTAAACTGAATCATCCCAGAAAGAGTTTAACACTCATTAATGGGTAGAGGTAATTATCCTGGTTTGAAATGTTGTGTTTGTACATCACTGTCGTGGAAAAGGAGGTAGAGTCCGACAGTACCTCTGCTAGCAGAGTGTGGACACAGGGAGCACTACAAAAGTGCTTGCAACTATGCTTCTATGAAAGAAGATGCGATCTCTACTCGTATAAGAAATGTCGGCAAAAACCTGTATAAAAGTCTTTAAACTTTTGTTAATGTTTCAGCACAAATGAAAGCAACTGGTTTTTCATTCATTTTTCCCTGTAATGGACAGGAAAAAAAAAAGAAATAAAAGTAAGGTAAAGGAATATTCACAGAAAGGAAATTAAAAATGAAAGATGAGTGGGAAAATAATACTAACTGATGATTTAAAATTATACCAAAACCTAGACTTAATTCATTCTCTTTCAGGAAGAGAGGTAGCTCCAGTTCCCTTAGAAGAAGTCTGGATTCCCTCTGTGTGCTCTGCCAAAACGAAGCTAGACTTTAGTCAAGCACGAAGTACTAGAGTAAAACTCAGAGGCACTGAGTGAAATTACAGGGAAGGAAAATCAACTTTTTGAGCTATTACCAGGGGAGGGGAATATTATGTTCACTACAGTTCAGGGTAACAAGAAAAAATAGTATTGGAAAAATAAATCATCATTTTGCAATGTGATAGGGGACTGTACTTACATACATAGGGGACATTTCTCACAAGTTTTTACCCAACCATCTAAGAAAAGTCAGCTAAAATTATTCAGCTTTCAATGGCATGTACATGTTTAATGATGAAATTATTTCCTGGTTTTCAGATATAGCATAATATACAGTTGAACTTAGATGCAACTTGACTTTTTCCACTATAAATCCATTGACTTTTCACCTACTGCCAGTAATAAACTACCTATTTCAGGAAAGGTGGCTCATTAATGTGAGAGAAGAAACATCTATATCACTGTAAAAGAAATTATTAGTGGGATTTGCTTGTTATTTGGATCCTGGCAGCAAGTGTAAAAATAAAGAAATACAGTGACTGCAATGAAATAAATTAAGATAACAAAAGTAAATTGTAATTTTAGTGCTTATTCAGGTGGACAAATTTCTACATGAAAAAGAATATCAGGTGTGCCAGAAGCTTTACATCTGTGCTCTTAAGAGGAAAGCTTAGACAAAGACTATTATCAGTAGAGAAGTAATTAAAGAGAAAAGAGAGAGGTTTTCATTAAATCAGAAGCTAACGAGTTTGATTTTATCTTACTTCCAAAGTAGCAAATCAGTTCCTGGCAGTCAGTGTAGGGGAGAAATATAAAGAAGAAGAATCAAACTATTGTTTTTGCAGTATATTGTTACACTTTCCTCCAGATAGGAGTAATTATTTGCCTTGTCTTACCTTTTTTTAAGTAACTTACAAGCAATTGCA